AAATCGCAATTGCCAATACACAACCTTTCACAGTTATATGTCGAATAAGCCAAAGATAAACGGGATAAAACATTTGATGTCCAGAGCTCGGAGAATCTATTCACAAGAAGTATTGGAAGATGAACTCAATTTTATCTCTAATGTGCCCGAACCAGTTTCTACCCAAACGAAATATGATAGACCAGGTGGTAAACAAGGAATTGGTCGTTAGTCTTCTTCTTAAGACGGCTGAATGGAGCGCTGAAAACCACACTCAATCACGCGTACCAATGTCGCTGTTTCTAAAGTTCGCCACCGTTAACCATTTGGAATAAGGATAAACTACCTTTGCTGATCTGTGCACCGGTTGCTTACTCGTTCGTACAGTACGGCAGTTATCCATCCGCATGCAAGGACACTATCCGCACTGGTTGAATCAAGATGGTTTCAGACCTATCACAATTGCAATTCACGCACACTTGGTAGACACTGGGCATCGTGTCAACCCAACTGAAGCATTCCGTATTACACATTTGACCCCAGAACGATGGGCTCAGAGGTGTCTTATTCAAAACACCGTTTCCCCCGAGTACATTATCCCCCACCTCACCCTGCCCACACACACACACACACACACACACACACACACACACAAGTGCACATATTCACACAATAACACCGATCCCAAAATTGGGCTGGCACGACCAACATGACTGGTATGACTGGAAATCCCGGAAGCAGAAAACCGACAATGGGAGAATGAAATGGGCGGTGGTGGCCGAGCGGTAAATAGAACCAAATTATCACCCCGTGGGACGTGTGCTCAAATCCCACAAGCAAATCATTCTCTGTGTGTTTGTTGTATGGCAGCTCTTTGATAGGCCGGTTCTCCTTTCTTGAACGTGATATATGCAAATGCCGTGCTACTGCTCCATTGTTTCACATCGTCTTGTCCCGCTCATCCGACACAGTTAATCTCTCTCTGATGCTCTAAGTTATTTGACCGGATGGTTTTCCGCGATTTGTGGCACTTTGAATCCCTTAACTTGACACCTCAACCTGATCACCTGTAATCTGGTCCTGTGATGATGGCAGTCCTGTTGTGTGTGCACAGTCGAAATTCACTGGGGTATGCTAAAGCCACACACGGCTGTGCATAATGTGCGGGGTCTCGCCGGTTTGTCAGCTAGGCTAGTATCACAGTCGCTATTTCGGCTAAACCATCCGGTCGATCGCGTGATTATCGAGCCGAATTAGGATCAGGATAAGTTATGAATCCGATGCTACGGCTAAGTGTTCGTACAGATCGACACAGGAGAGACATTGGTGGAGAGAGATGGAATGGAAAACGTTTAAGCCATGCCGATGATTTTACTGTGCGTCACTTGACTCGTCCCAGACGCATGTACTATAGTTTTCCAATCGGGTCCGGTAAACGGATAACCATATGAAAACTTTGCATCTGTCTTGATCACGGATTACGATATCCGCTAAGAAGAAGCTGACGATAGAAATTCAATTAGCCGGCCTTATCGCAGCTGAATGTTGTAAAACCCGGGTTGGTTTCTCCCCGAGAAAATACTGTTTGTACTTTAGTTAGACCAAAACAATGTTATCACAGTATTTTCAGGTCAGATTACAAAGTGTGGCTCAATGTTGAATATACGGTCCCCGTGCTATTCTGAAGCTTTCAGATGAAAGTAGCTGATCAGCTTGAGGATGACAGCAACGTTTCATGCGTCTGATTCATTGGTATCCGGCGTGAGGTTCGGGTCACATAGGAATCTATCCGCAACTGTGTTTTGCTATCCCGGGCTTCAGGGATACGCTCAAGCTATAGAAATTATTAAGCTCTTTGTTTGGACGACCTCATGCAATAGTTTCCATCAAGTAGTATATGAATGACTGAAAAAGTTCCCCTTCAAGGCGTCTAAGCCAGATTTATTGAGATTAGTAGCATCTAACCGAACTATAAACATCGAATCATGCATAGTATTGATTCACAAATNNNCACCTCCCTTCATTATATACGTATATAATGAAGGGAGGTGACTCATTCGATTGTGTCCATATCCTACAAACCCCTAGGTTTTGTCCTCTCATTTATCGGGTGACGGCATGATTATGATTAGCTCGACACAGTTGTTGTTGTTGCTATTGTCGTCGTCGTTGTTGTTGTTCTCGTTGTTGTCGTCGTTTTTGAAAAAATAGGAAACACTGTTCCGACCAAGTTTGGTTTCATCAATGACAAATGAAAATCGACCTGATCAGCTGCACGATGGCCGAGTTGAGGGTGCATGCTTGCGTTCTCCTGCCCCCTCCCCGTCTCCTGAGGTCCCGGGTTCGATCCTCATCCAAGTGGGTGGATTCGCGTGCTGTGTTTGCTCTGCACGCAACGAATTCCCCCGCGTTTTATTTGTCATATCTTATTTGATGCCGTTGCTCCTATCCAACCACCCAGTATTGCTACTGTTTAGATCAGTGTTTCACCAATCGATTTGTGTAAATTTAGTTTATGCCATTCACCATGTTGGTCTCTTGACTACGCCCCCGGGGTCATACGAATCCGGCTGTTGAGCGAACTTTGTTTTGAGCTTCGCTTGTCCACCACATCCAATGTTTGATTCAGACTAGTCTGTCTAGCTTAGCTTTCGTGCATTACGGGTTGGCACAGTGCACGGGAATTGGTCATTTTGCTTCAGCACTGCGTTCCTGAATCCGCGTTAAATACAGTCGCCTTATTGCAAGCGAATGCCCGCTTCTTCCTCGCTCAAAACAAAATCACATATTCAGTGCCATCTTTGCCCTTCTCCTATCTGCATGCTGCACTCAACACCTCCAGTAGCTGCTGGTTTGTTTCTGGTTATTATAAAAAATCCTTGTGAAATCCGTTGACAACTTCTAATCCATATCTTCCACTTTTATCACATATCGACTTTATTTTTCTGTTAGAGCTGTGTAGGCAGAAACCAACAATTTTTATCTGTTCTTCAATTTGGTTTACCCAGTTAAAGTTAATTATCATTATACATAATAATGAAAATGCTATTAATATCTATTATTATTATTATTATTATTATGTATTTGCCGATGATGTTGTTTATTTACACTGGAGCACACGTTGAACATATTTCATCCTGTTTGTCAAGACGGTATCGAAACAAAGGGTTTTGTTTGGAACGACGGATAACACAATGAATACGGGGAAGACAATTTGAACGGAACACAACGATCTCAATATGAGAGAGATTTGTGTGTTGCACGCACTGATCAAATCCGGTGCCCTCATTGGGGATGGGGGTGCAATGCGATGACGGAGCTGATGTTGACTGACGTCGGAAATATTGTGTACAGCACCCCTCGGACCTCCTAAAGCGAAAAAAACAAGTCTGCTATAAATCAAAGTATCTGGTCAGAAAAAGAAGTTGGACTTATCCAATCTGTGCAACCTAAACGGGAATTTGCTTAGCGATTTCCCAGATGCACAACCTTGTTCACCAAATCGGAAACTGGGAGACCAAGCAGATTGAACTGAGCATAACAACCGATTGGGATATGCCGGCTCGGCTTCAATCTATTCAGCTCAAAACCTATCAAACATACTCTTCATAAATGTTTTTTTATCGAAAGAAAGGGGGAGTTGGTGACCGGATTCGCGACTTCGAATGATTTCCCAGCGTTGCATAACGTGATCGGAAAATTTAGTCAAGGTCAGTATGTGAGTACAATCACCCATGTTCTCGGTAATTCGCTACGCTCATATAATACAGGAATCTTCCCTACGAGCGAGGGAATGGAATGTTTTTGAAATAGAAAGCAAAATGTACCGCGAGTAACGTTTAGTTATTTTGTAATACGTTCTTACAGGTTTGGATAAAAGAGGACCTGGATACCATCGGGTTTAGTAGAGCTGAATGCTACCAGGCGCGTCCTCGGGTTGTGGATAGGTGGATACTTTGACCGAAGAAGGTTTGCTGTGAATAAGCTGTGATTTACCGCAACAAATAAGCAGTCGCGAACATACAGCGGCGGCACTACCAGGGTGTGGTGGGTTTCAGCCTAGTCACCTAACTCTTGTTTAAAAGCCGCCTTATAAGCCTAAAGTCATTGACCCTTTGCACTTCCGAGGCGAGGTATTACTTCCTTCTGCCTTGCAGTTCGCACTTGATTGTGCAAAAGCTAGAGGTGCACCCTCAAAATAAAAACGCCGAGTGAGGCTGCAGACGTCTCTCTCATCGAACTTCCAAGGAACTTCATGATGATGATGATGATCATGTCTGAAGCCGGCTCATCCTTTCCAAGTAATGTAAGATTAAAAAAGGAGCCACAGTTCACTGGATGCGCCCTAATAATCGTGTTGACCAATGAGGACAAAGCGTCTTGGCAACGGGTACCGTAACTATCAAACATCCAAGTTAAACCTAAGTACTTGTGATATAGGGAACATATTGGTACACAATAAGGAAAATTTGCAATAAGGGACGAAGGTAACAAGGGCCGGTTAGTGCAAACACCTGACAAAGAATCGATGGTGAAAACGTGGTGGAGTTTCCACGTGGAGTGATAGGGTAGAAACCAATTCTGTATATCACATAACACAATGCTCTGAATGGGAGATAAAATTGGTAACACTAGAGTTAGACTGTAGGGAGCAAATGGATACCCGGTAAATGTCAAATATTGTCCAGATTTCTTCGGATAATCGATCACACTGAAGGACTGTACGACTAAGCGCTAAGTTCTAGCCACCGCACTTGCGTTCGACAAGCATTGAAACGCATACGGCTGGTAAAATGAGTGAAAAATAGTGTAAGCTACGGTTAACCAAACGGTCAGTAGTTTCATGGTGGTATATGAAACAAAATTCACCGGTTTTAATTCAGTTTGGGTCAAGCCAAGTATAGCAAAATGTGATGCGGGAGAGAGTTATTCAACGACTCAGTTATGAGATCAATGTGCCAGTAATACCAGCAAGGTTGAACACCGTAGCAAAGGGGGAGGGTGTGATAACAGGTGTCTGTTTCAAAGTTAAAAACAGAAATAGCAAAACACTCGTGGATATTCTAGATCAGAAATCGATGCAGAGAATTGGATGAGTTTCTTTGGACGAATCTTTGAAGATAACCGAGGTCGTCAAGCCCTCGAATTACCAAGTTATCCGTGTAGATTGTGCACGCAACAAGGTTTGATAGACGTCAAAGTTCAGCTATGTACAGACGAAGCTTTGGCACACTGTTAACAAACTCCACAACTTACTTCCACACCATAGATGACGAGCACGGTTGCCGAGCACTAATCGTGAGAAATGTGATCAATAAAAAACAGAAAAGGAAATTCAAACCGTCTGTTTCCGTGCCGAATGTGGAACTTTGTCATACAGAACCACAAAATATCTGGGCAGTTGACGTTACTTAGTTCGTGCGACCGTAAAAACAGGCCACGTTTGAGGATATACACCAGCGAACTCGGCTCGGTGGGAAAACATATAAACCGGTTGTGAACAACTTGGGAGTGCTTCAAGGTACCGTTCTATCTCAGTTCTTGATTTCCACTTACATTAATAACCTGTCACCCTGTTGCTCAGACCATGTATTTAAGAACGCTGCCAAGCCATTTTTATGTCTGAAGACCTTGTAAATTTCTCGAATAATCCTTCGCATATTTACGAATTTTCCGTTTGTCCTGGACTGTCTCTTAGTTTATTTAGGTGCTTCGAATTCTCCTTTACCCGCGGTCGTAAGCACAGATCCCCTAACTAGAGTAGATTCCGTGAAGTGGTTAGGAGTTACAGTTTGATACAAACGAAAGTTGAACATCCCATTTTTACAACTCTGTACAGAAACTTCATAGATGACCTTTTCAACTGTGAAGACTTAGACAGTTCAACCCCGAACAAAAAATTATTTCACTTTTTGTCTATCAATGTGCTTTTCCCATTCCTGTTTATTGTTCCCCAGTGGTTTTTGCTGGTCTGCCCAAAAAAGACTTCACAATTCTCCGTCACCGTTTGTCCATCATGAGTAGTGTATTTTTTACACCGGTTAATGATCTATCTAAACAACTGTGTGAACTTCACTTTTTCTCATGTGAAACATTTGCACAGAAAATCCTCTCTGATCCTACTCAGCCTGTACATAGTGATCTGTCTAATGACCAGTCTTATTCGACTACGCGCTCCACATATCGTTTATTATCCCCTGTCATTAGGCTCTACAGAAATTCCCCAGTTCTCTATCTCGCTAGAATCCTTGTAAACCGACAGCACACTTTTTCTGAATTTCTCAGCAAACTTGAACGGGGGGGGGAGAGGGTCAAATATTTTATTTGTATTACTTCCCCCCTTTGAATTAGATGAAGTGTAATCTTTACCGGAAATGCGGATATCTGTTCACGCGAAACACTATACAAATACAACACAAACATGGTTGCCTCATTTTTATTCATTGGAAGCTAGTGACGAACGAAAGTCTCATCTCTCTCTTGCCCCGGGACTACTGAAAATCCCGGGATTGAAATGCAAACGTTTTGCCATCACAAATAAGTAGTCAGTTCAAGCCGTGTGATTTTGCATTCTACAACACAAACTACCTGTGTTCCGGTTGCTCGGATAACCTCGAAAAACCGACCGGCAGACCATTCTCAGTCGATAAATACATTTCATCCGATTTTGAGCCTATTTGTAGAGTGTAGTCATTTCCGGTGTGCTTGTTTGTATGTCATTTATCAAACGACATAATTGTTGACCAGAATGAATTGTTTATTTTGGGCTTTGACGTGGATCTTGTCGTTTGTAAAGCAATAGGAAAACCGGGCTAGAGAGAGAGAGAGATCTAAAGAGACATTGAATCCAATTTCTCTTCGGAAACGTTTTTATTCAATTTGATAATTATTGGTCACGTACAATATGAGCTGTGCGGCACACAGCGGGTCACCCCCCGTCTACGGAAAGTGTATATTGTT